CGGCTCTGCCAGAGGGCACTGTCCTGCTCAACAAGGCGGTGAGGACCATCCGGTGGAGAGGGTCCTTCCGTGAGGAAGGGGACGAGGCCAGAGACTTCCCCGTCCGGGTGGAGTGTGAGGATGGAGATGCCTTCCTTGCCGACCACGTCATCGTCACCGTCCCACTGGGTGAGGACACCAAGGGCTTTCATTGCCCTGCCTGTCACCTCCAACCAGTTGGCGTGGTTGGAGCCAGGCAGGTGGAGGGCAGGGACTGGCACAAACCCCTTCCCCGCCTCCCCCCTTCCAAAGAGGCTGGGAAGGGGTTTGGGGAGGGGAAGGTATCTCTGACCCCATTTCGGAGCCCAGTGAACAGAGCTGCCCCATCTTCCGCCTGCAGGTTTCCTCAAGGAACACCACCAGGACTTCTTCCAGCCTCCCTTGCCCGAGTGGAAAGTAGAGGCCATTCGCCGGCTGGGTTTTGGCACCAACAACAAGATCTTCCTAGAGTTCGAGCAGCCTTTCTGGGAACCCCAGCAGCAGTTCCTGGAAGTGGTGTGGGAGGACGAGTCAGCCCTCGAGGATCCCAGCACTGACCTGGAGGCCAACTGGTTCAAGAAGCTCATTGGATTCGTGGTCCTCCAACCACCAGAGCAGTACGTGGCCAGGAGTGTCAGCAAAGGGGCATCGTGGGTGGAGGGTTCGGGCATCTTCTGGGCAATGTGAAGGAGCATCTTGGTCATATCTAGAGCTTCAAGTCCTTCTCAGGATCGCTGGTGGCCCATGAGGCAGTGGGGCTCCCAGGGCAAGGAGGGCATAAGGCTGCTCTCGGCCCCATCTTTCCTCCCCAGGCATGGGCACGTCCTCTGCGGCTTCATCGCAGGGAAGGAGTCGGAGTACATGGAGACGCTAACTGATGCAGAGGTTCTCAGCACCATGACGCGCGTCCTCCGCATGTTGACAGGTACCGCCACCTCCTCCGCCCTTGTCACCTCAACCCCCCCAGGGGAAAACACCCACATGGATCTCTGGATCCCGCCCAAAATCCACACCCGCAGGGAACCCATGCCTGCCCGCTCCCAAGAGCGTGCTCAGGTCCCGGTGGCACAGCGCTCCCTATACCCGGGGCTCCTACAGCTACGTGGCCGTCGGCAGCTCGGGGAAAGACATCGACGTGTTGGCCCAGCCCCTGCCCGAAGACCCCGAGGACCCCCGGGTAATTGCTTTACACGACTGTAGGGGGCGCGGAGACCCCCTAGGCATGGGGACAGATGGGGAGGGGTGGCAACAAGGTGCCTCACACCTTGAGGAGCACAGGGAGGTGGCATTCCCCACTCCTGCTCCATTCAGGGGTCACTGATGCTCAGGTCACCAACCAACCCACCCTTGGCTCTTCCTGTTGGGGCAGGGGGAACCCTATTTGGATAAAATTTGGGGACACTTAGCTCCTTCCAGCCACTTTCCAGCATCCTCAGGGCATGGGGTGGGTTTCTAAGGAAAGGAAAGTGCCTGCTCCTTGGTCTCTACATGGCTGTACAGTGGGTCATGCATCTGCATGGTGCCAAAGAGCAGGGAGACGAGGCTGGTTTAGTACGACCCGCTGTCCCCACTGGGCTGGGGGAGGCTGCAGGCCCCTGGCACTCACCTGCCATCTTGCCGCAGCCTCTGCAGCTCCTCTTTGCTGGTGAGGCCACCCACCGCACCTTCTACTCCCCCACCCACGGGGCTCTGCTGTCGGGCTGGCGAGAAGCTGAGCGGCTCAACCAGCTCTTCGAGGCAACCGGCCCGGCTCTGAGGCTCTGAGGCGGGAAAATAAAACTCGTGCTTTCGCGGGTCACTGGGTGGTCAGCCTCCTTTATTGAGAAACCCCAGCCAGCGGAGGGACGCAGAGGCTTCTCTCTCTCTTCAGTGCGAGGGGGGGG